GTTGTCTGCTTAAATGGGGGGGGGGGGAGGAGGAGAGGATTCCGTGCTTTTTTTGCTAGTTTCTGATGCACCGTACGTCTCACCTTGATGAATCGTGCAAACTCTTGTGAAGTGTGGACAAAGCTTCTGCCACTGCACAGCTTCACAGGTGTTTACAGGTTTTTACAGAAGTTATGGGCAGTTATCGATGGGAACCAGCAAAATGTCCTCAAACACCAAGATGAACTCTGCCTAACTCTTTATCTTCTACATCCACTTCCATTGCTCTCTTTTCCTACCAGTGCTGCTTCTACTAATGTTTCTACTCGGAAAGAAGTGCTGATTCTTTGATGGACAATCCAACAAACCAAGCGTAATAGAAGAGATAGAAAGAGCATCAGTATTGGTGGCCTACATGACTATTTTTTATACCTTCCTCACGCACCAATTCCTATTCCCCTGTTGTGAGGCTCAACTATTGAATAGTTCTGATGGCACCTTATAGAAAACCTAAGAAACCGAAGAATCATCCATCATACCTGCTATTCCACTCATCACCATTGCTACCCCGACAACTGCACCCACTAGTGTTCCGCGGCGAGCTGCTGAATCCTGAAACCATCTTCACTTCTCCTAGAAATTCTCTATCAGTTCGAGGTTCTCCACATACTTTCCACAACGAAACAAGACCGATAACTTGGATTCCGCTCGTGGACTGGTCCAGCTGTTTCATGGCCGCTCGCAATTCTTCACCGTCTGTGTTGTGATAGAATCGTAATGCACGCTCGCTTCGAATGTCATCACCACGTGAGTGGAGATACCTAAATGCTTACAACTACTTTACATGTAAACAAGCTCGATGTTGAATCGAACTAGTGTCCACTTCAAGGGCGAAGTCCGCACCGGTAGTATGGGCGGAGACAGTAAGCCGTTGTGCGCTCCTCAATATCGGGTCCCTCCTCTTTCCGCCTGTATAAGGCATCCCGCGTCTGCAGTTCGCAGATCCCAGAGTGAACTATTTCCTAGGTGCCAAACGAATCACCCGTGTTGTAAAGAGTGTACTAATCCGTGGAATACTTTTAAATAATTCATCAGAATTGGACAGTACTCGATTTCTTATGCTGAGACACTGTTGCACGGGCCAGAGCCCAGCGACAAGGATGAGAACAAGGAAAACAAGGTGGAACAGGTCTCTTTGTAATCACCGTCGAGCTGCCAAATTCGGACAACCTCAGTGATTACGGACTGGAATGTAAAGAAACCACCTCTGGGCAAACGTGTTGGCTGATCGGCGTCACCTACGTCCTTGCCTATATGAACAGCGCTGGTTGCTTCTTCAAGCGGCGAAGTGAGAGCGGAACATTTGACTTTGAGAGGTTCAGATGCACCAACTACTTTTCAATCTAGTACCTGCAAGTACGGCACATCTTGTCACGGGGAAATTACTGCAAAATGCGACTCTATACGACTTTTCCCTTCCCTCGCCCCCTTCCCCCAATCTCCTCTTCTGGTCTTCGTCTATAGCCCCTAAACTGTGGTCTTCTCGTAAACCACAGTGTGTTCAGACTTACCCTGGGCTTTCGTGGATGAATGGAACAAGCGCCATCACAGTTGCAGTGATAGCCAATTCTGCAGCGTACAGTTTCCACCAGCCATTTTCACTTCCGAATAGTTGAGGCATTGCCAGTGTGGCACCCACCACAAGAGCGACTTGGAGTAGTATACCGTTTATCATCGATGTCACTCCACGGCATTCTTTCGGGCTGAAATACTACTCTGAGAGGATTTCGTGACAGGCAACGTTTACACTTTACAGTCCTACTCTTTATAATAAGGCCGCATTTGAATAGTAATTCTTCTCTAGCTATAGGTACAGCGTGACCTTTGCCTCCGGCAAAATTTATTTATTTATTTATTTATTCATAAAAACAGCATCCGCTTGAAGCGAAACGCTCGATACCCTTACCACAAGCACCAGCTTTACTTTTGTTATCTTTTGTTGCCGGCGCCCACGCGTGCGTGAGCGATGCTCCGAGCCCTTCGTGCTGAGTTTCAGGTCGTGAGGAAAGGTATTTCCAAACCCCCATTTCAGATGCGCATATTTCGGCCCTGATAGGATGTTAGTAATCCGAGTAACAACCATTGCTATCAACATAACTGTGCCTACAAGAATTAAATTCGTTAGTTTCGCCGGTGATCTACAGGCGATAAATTTCTTAGGCTTTTTTTCCTGTGAAAGTTGTCGAGATGTTTGATTTGGTAATCAGCAAACACCTTATGAAATTAGCCAAAAAAACATTATCAAGTAGAAGCTGAGGAAGTACCTGCACTCTGTGATGAACATTGGCGCAACACCACAAGATATCATGATTCCGAAGCCGATTAGGAAACGAGCAACTGTATAGATGACCGCATCAATTTGCTAGAAATGAAGCAGAGTTTTTGAGCCCAAATCTCTCGAATGTTCGAGCAATGAAAGACGAGGACTTCAAATTTGATGCACGACAGCTATATAGTACAGTCTAGTTCGCTGCGGACGAAGGGGCGTGTCGGGCGGGATGAGTTTGGCGCGGTGCCAAACCCGTTCTCCACCAGTTGTTGAAGCGAGCAAGTGACAAGACTGTATCATATCGTTCGTATCACTCGTTTTCTACCAACTGTTGTCGCATACCCGCTTCAACAACTGGCAGAGAATGGGTTTGGCCCCGTGGCACACTCATACTGCCTGACACGCCCCTCCGTCCGCAACGAACTAAGGTATACTTAAAGGCAAAGCCCGCGATCATTCGCTATCACAGATAGTGGATTAGGGGTTTGCATATAGACGACAAGGTGCTGAGTAACTCGATAGTGAAGAAAAGCAGAAAAACATGCCAACTGCTCTAGATAGAACCACATTCCGATCCAACTAGTATGTGCCCAATTAATTCCATCTCCAGCACTACCCCTCATCTGCACAGCTGATTCCCCAGTAAGAACTCTACGACCGTACAAAGACCGTGACTTTAACTCGACGCGTCAATAAGCACTGTGAGGCCTTCTTCGCTGCTGATAATGGGGCAAGTCAGGCGGGATGGGTTTGGCGCGGCGCCAGTCGTTTTTTTCCTCTCGGCAAGCAACAGGCTGTTTCAACCAAACCACATTTCCTTAACACGTTGACGACGAGCCATTTTTCCCATGACTTGCGCCTGGGACGGCACATTTTTCTACATTGAAACTTAGTAATTTCCAAATAAATGAATTACTACGATCAAAATGTATCGAGAAATGCAAGAGACGAGTACCAATCTCGAATCTTTGACAAAATTTAGCTCTTATTGCTCCATTTTTTCAAAATCCAGGCATTTTCCAAATTCCACCCGCGACAGAATCACTAAAAATTGTCTCCGCGCGTAGTCCGATCTCCTGAAGAACAATATCGCATCCCTCGATCTGAAAATGTTTGTTCCTTGAATTAATTTTTATGAAAGAAGTGGAAAAATTAAGCAAGATCTTGACGTTAATAATAACTGTGGGACAGGGCGACGCCTGTCCACAGTTATATATACTGGCGACGCGTTCACAAGACAAACCTTCTGTCGTCTACCATTGGCGGAAATCGTCATCGAACGTTAAGTGATATGAATTTGTTGAGGGGGTCGTTCACCGTAGGACAAGTTTTCAGAATTATGAGCTGGGACATTCTGGTGGCGGTGCCAGGCGTTTAGCAAGCGTTTGTGATATTCGCCTTCATGGGTCAAGCTGACCCCATTAATACAATATTAACGCATTTGTGACTAGGGTATACTCGAAATCCCTGAGATCGGGTAGGCGTGGCCGCATGTTTCAACTTAACCTGAAGGTGCCTATGCTTCTGGTGAGATATTTTCACCTGGCCACAATTGTTGTCGTGTCTCTTTCCAGCACAGAACAAGATGACAGTTGTCCCAGCCTGGAGTATTCCATGAGTAACTAGTTCCGGTGCCATTTCGGAATGTCACGGCTGCTCACTAAATTCAGGATCAAGGGTGTATTTTGGCGCCGGGCTGTGCCGCGTATTCGTGTTCAGGGGCTAAGTACCCACGACACAAGTTTTCAACAATTTGTGACCTCAAGTATTAGGTGCACAGAGTTCGTGCCTTCGTTTTTCGAGCTGGTACCGATAACTCGCAAAGTTAAATTACCGGTCCACAGATATAATCCAATCATACCCAACCTTTCGCCAACGATGGGTAGAGAGCAATCCCTCCCAAAAGCTGGCCGGCCGCGACTCGGCCCAGTCCTCGAGGTCGCGCTCGTTCTTCAGCTGTTTTCCGTCCAAGAAATTTTGCATGGACCGGAAGATGTGGTAATCGCATGGACTGATGTCCGGGCTATACGGTGGATGCGTGATCGTCTGATCCCCAGCCTGTCTAACGGGCTGTATTATCTCGTCGCTTTGGGGGTTCGCGCTGTCTCAGACAACCAACGGATTTGCAAGTTTCTGGGACAAGGCGGCAGCTTTCACCTTGACCTCCTGCAATTCTTTAGAGAGGGTCTCTGCCGTCACTGTGGCATTGTTGGGTAGGATGCTGTAGTGGACGACGCCGTGGCGAGAACCAGAAACCTCGGCATATCTTCGATGCCATAGTTCTCATTGTGAAGCGAGGTCTACCGTTTTGAACAATCCATTCTTATTAAAAAGGGTTGTTATCACAAACTGGCTGACGATCTGTCGTGGCTGACGTTGGAGATGCCAGGTTGTAGCGTACCAGCAAACATCGGCGGTGTTGGTGACTACCGACTCATTCAGCTTTATTGGGAAGAGCAGGAAGTGAATTTTAGCGCTAGATAGCTCAGAAATGCTAAGCCCATGCGAGTACTTTTAGTAATTGCGAAATCTATTATCAAATCAACAACGTGTTGCGCACGCGACGTGTTTACAAAGCCAACAACTTTGTGGAACCCAAATTTGGCGCGGCGCCTGTGGCCCGGCGCCGGAAGTCGGTCAAACCCGGTATGTTCGTTTCAGAATTTCAGCCTACTCCTATAGACATCTTTGAACAAACTTGGTTGCTCGCACGTCTTTATTATTAGAGCAGTATGCTGTCGGACAGCATTGTCCGACACCGTCCCATGAGACAGACTGGCTGTCGCCCACCATTGTCCGACACCGTCGTCAACGTGTTAAAGGCGCTCTGTCCTGTGATAGCCCTATCAGGCTGGGTAGTGAACTCCTTCTGATGCTGTTCTACCATCCCGTTCAAGAAAGTAATCCGTCGCTTTCCAAAGGATATAACTCAAGAATTAGAGAATGGAATAAAAGGGAACTCACGTAAAAACTGAATATCGTAAGCAGACAGGAGAGAACTTGAATGCTGTGAGATACCTGGAAACTTTTCTTATTTCCATTACGGAGCAGTTCTAAGGAATAGCTGGGGAGAATAAAGCTATGTATCCTCTGACCCATGACTCATAAATATCGAGGAATTTCACCTGTAACGCATTTTTGCGACCAAATCTCTCGACAAGGGTACGAATTAGAAATGCACCTGCCATGCATCCCCAGAAGAAGACTGAGATAATAAATGACCACCGACCCTAAAACAGCAGTGCAAAATCAGGCGAGGAAACAATTTATATGAATGCAGTCATCAAATCATTTCTTGATAACATCTTTTGACTGTTATTTGTCCTACTTGCGATTCAAAAAACATACCTCTAGCTGCTCTCTAGACAGAGACTCGTTATGATTCCGCAGATGCGAATCGTTTAAAAATTGGAGAAAGGCCTCTTGAGAAGGGTTCGTGATGAGAAGCTGGAATTTCATAGTTTCAATTTCGAAGTTTCAATTTCCTTCAATGGAACTAGATCGCTATACTTGTGAGAAAGGTTGGTAGTGAGGAGTGAGCGGTCAGTTGCCAAATCAGGCAGAGCGCAGAAAGGGTACGCAGAAGAAAGTGCAGCAACAATACATTACAAAATCTTGATGCACCTGTCAACTTCTACCTAGCTGCCTACCAATGGGCAGAATTTCATGGCAGCTCACAAGTAATCCGTGGGCAATTACTTCAAGGTCGAGATATGAATTGCAGCTCTGGGATCAATGACGATTCAGACTGCCCCTCTAACAAGTTGGTTATGATCAGGACCGCTCAGATAGTGGGTAAAGATCGGGCATGTTGCTTGTTCCTACCATCACTGCCCATGCCTCCACTGGATCGGTGAATTCCTTCCAAGCTATGCTATGGCAGGAAATTCGTTTACACTTAACAAGAGTCGCCTGGTTTCACCATGGTAAAGTAGGTCAACTGGAACTAAGCCAAGAAACTAGCGTGCAAAAGCCCCTCCCTTGCCGAACACCGAGCAACCGAGCGAAAGGATAAAAACACTGACAGGTTGGTAAACATCGTAAAAACTACAAAACTTCAAGGTCCCTGAGGCTCAGAATGAGATTCGAACACATGGCGCTTCTAGGCTTATCTCTTCAGTGGTTTATACACACCTGATATCCGAAACTGAATGGACCGCCAAGGGCCACAAGCACGGCTGAAAGGAATAGACGCCGCGATGGAATCCTTGAGGTGTTACGCCCAGTTCTGAAACAAAGAAACTCTCTGCAATAGTCGCCACTGTTTTTTCAGCTCGGAGTCTGTTAGGACTTCAAACCAGAGCATTCTATTATGATGCTCTCATCCTTGTTGTAAGGTAATACATTTTGGAACTACTCTGATGTAAGATTATAGGACCGTATTAGCCGAAGTATCGCCGATAAGGGTCTTGTAAACCGAGGAGTTTTCCATCCTAGAATGAATACTGTTACACAGCTGATACCTCACAACAAATATCGGGAACAAAGCTGTTGGAATGTTAGCAGACGAGGATGAAGGAATCGATATATGCAAGGGCACATGTGACTCATTTGTTCCAGTGGGATATTTCTAGCATTCTAGAGTCTGAGAGCTGCGGAAATCGAAGCTCAAAAAACCTTCAAAAAGCGGCCGAGACAGAAAAACAAATTTATTTTGTATTACCCTTTTTCGTTCTGCAGTAGGGTGAGGTGACAGTTCTAGATGGTATATCCGGATAGTTTGAATGGATACTGTTCTCTTATGGCATAAATTATTGCAAATAGCTTTTACTAATCGGTAGAGCTAATAAGCACCTCAGGTAATTAAACGCAATCAAAGACTCAAAATTAAAATCTAAATCAAAAGTTGCTAATGTTCACATGCACTATCGTGTAGAGCTTAGCGAGCTCAATCTTTTGATAGAATGTCCTTTATAGGACAAATAAACAGAAATTCCATGATAGCAAAAAAAGCAAAGAACGCGGGTCCGCCATTTTATCTGAACAGTTGAGCTGCAATCCCTTGTACTTCAGGTCTATGGACTATGCAACTGTACCTA